TTTTTTTCTTGGAAAATTGGAAAAACTGTGAATTTGGATTGTTGGAACATATTAGTGTTAAAAGTTCTCAAGTGCGTGAGAAGAGGAAGATGTGAAGTTGTATGTTTCAGAAAAAGAATGCTTTGAGTATATTGCTTCTTTCGCTGCTATAGGACCCTTCTATGAACTTTTATCACTCTCTAACTTCTTGTCTATCTTTTCCACTTGTTTTCTTAAGTGCTGTTAGCGTTGCAGACATGAGGTTCTCACGAAACCTCTCTAACTTTAAAGACATCACAAGAACGCTAACCGGCTAACGGCATCTCTACTAACATTGTGCTCATAATTGAGGTTTGAAAGAAAAAGAAGATTCTGTTTACAAGTTCTCTTTTTCTGTAGAATCATCTTTCTTCCTTCTCTAATTTTTTAAAGTGATTACCACAGATTTTTTAGTCAATCTTTAAGTATTATTATGCGATAAGCAATAATGCTCTTGTGCATCGCATAACTACCATTGTTCTCATTTCTCATTTGACTTTTATCGCACTCATTTATTTCTTTCCAAGATCTCAGTTTTTGCTTGGAGACTCTGGTTGAAGAAGTGTCATTGTTCTCACAGCAACTCGTTTTTAGGAATGCAGCAAAAGCAATTGCATCGCCGAATGCTGCTGCCGTTGCGATAGCCGCTAGCGAGCAATTGGCTTCTGAAGCAAAAGCAGCGGCTGAGGCTGCAGCTACAGAAGAAAGAGAGAAAGAGCGTAGAGATGAAGAAGTGCGTGCAAAGGAACAACTTGAAGTTGACGATGACTTTGATGCGCAGGAAAAGCCCATAGATAAGAGTCCTAGTAAGCTTTCAAATATCTGTTTGTTGACACCGATGTACGTATGATTCATAGGTGGACGTTTTCTTAAATTTGATGAGGAACTCGGTCGAGGATCGTTCAAAACGGTATATCGCGGGTTAGATACCGAAACCGGTGTAGCGGTGGCTTGGTGTGAACTTCAAGAAAGCAAGCTAAATAAGGTTATCAATTCAAATGCCATTACTTTTGAACTTCCTCTTTCAATGTATTGTTTTATTTCAAGGCTGAGAGACAGAGATTTCGGGAGGAAGCGGAGATGCTGAAAGATTTGCAACACCCCAATATCGTAAGATTTTACGATTATTGGGAAAGGACTGATCCGTCGGGGAAAAGAAAGTGGGTTTAGAAAATTTTGTAGGACGCAAGTGTCTAGCTAGTCTTTTCCAGATATATCGTCTTAGTTACGGAATTGATGACATCGGGTACTCTCAAAATGTATCTAAAGCGGTTCAAGCGAATCAACATCAAGGTACGCGCACATGCAACTTCACTTACTCGTTTTTCAGAAGAAGACATTTAGGTCTTAAAATCATGGTGCAGACAGATCTTGAAGGGCCTTTCTTTTTTGCACTCCCGAAATCCACCGGTAATTCACCGTGATTTGAAATGTGACAATATATTCATCACGGGAACAACGGGCAGTGTGAAAATCGGTGATCTCGGCTTAGCTACACTGAAGAACAAATCTTACGCGAAGAGCGTTATTGGTGAGTTCAATTTCTTCTGAGATCTTGATCTTTAATTGATTCTTAACCTGGCTCTTTTGATACACTTGCAATTTGCTATGCAGCCGTGGTTGCATTTGCTGTTCGTTACTTTGATTGCAGTGTGTTGTCGAAGTGCTTGTACTGATAACAGTTGTCTACCAACAGCCAATTCATGTTTTAAATCGAAAATCTTTACATGTGCTTGTCACAATGCAGAAATCTTGTTTATATATCTAAGACGTAGCCACTATCGATTGCAATGAGAATTCATTGCATATGGTGACCTCAGCGAGTTTGAGTGATGTTGAGGTGTTATCAGTGCAGTAACTTTTTTTGGTGACGGCAGTCAGCTGTGCCTAGCACTTTTAGAAATATTAGCATTGAACCCTGTCACTGGATGTTATAATAAGTGCGTTTTGTCGGACTTTCGAAAATAGAAATGTCTGAGGAGGGAAAATTGAGGAGACCTAAATAAGTATTCATTGTTTATTTTTCTTCTACTAATTCATTTTGCCTTTTGCATTTCAAGACGTTCTAAGGAAAGATATATCAAAATTTGTTAGTGAAAATTTTCCAACAGACCAAGAATGGAGTAGTGTTGATTTTGCTTGGCTAATCATATGAAATGGTAGAGAAGTAGTTTCGCGAAATGTGGTTCAACCAAAATACGGTGGACGTTTTTCGTGGTCCAAAAGGCGAGGTTTAATGTTTTAAGCCTGTTCTATACATATTCGCCCGCTTAATCCGACTTCTACCCCTCCTATATTTCGAACTCTATCTTTTGATTATTTGATAAATGATTCTCTTTTCTTCAGTTATAGTTTTCGTGTTTGTACGGTATCGGAAATAATACAATAATACAATGTTTTGCAGACATTCCAGGCTAAAATTAGTATTTGTTGAAATCACATGCATATTTTGGTAAATACATCTGATACGAACAAATCTGATTTCTCGCATGTGCGACATCCTTGATTTTTCGTTTTGTGTATACGAGGGCGATAAACCTCGCTAGGGCAATCATATGCGGCGTAGCAGTGATCACGTGTGTACGTCTGGTGCCTACGCTCGTGAGAATAACGCTCATGTGTGCGTCGCTTGCTACAGTCCTACGGAGGGGCCGAGGGGCTTACTATTTGACTTGGGAATGAGTTTTCAGCGGCTATGAGATAACTGATTGTTCAATGGTCTTGCATAAATTGTGTACGAACGTTCGCTTGGAGTATGAGGGAAGAGTGCAAATTATTGCGACAAACCAAAAATGCTAACTTTTATAATGCTATGAACTGTCATTCGATTTTATATTTTTTAGTTTTCTGTTACTTATTGGAGTAGATTTTGCACCTCAGGTGCGGCCTGGTTTCACGCCAGAATTGTATTTTATGTAACTTTTATACATTATAGAATTTTAGTTTCAACTCTCTTAAAGCCATACATGCGATGTAGAGGT